AAGTCTTGTTGATTGCAGGTCAAGTTCCACAGTCTGGGTGGTGTCACTCTCTGACTGTGACTGAGATTCCCCACATGGTGGCGCACAGTGGGAAGAGTGCCAAATTCCCGGGATTAGGATTAGTTGTTCAGGACTCTTTCGCTGAGCCACTGACTCATAAAATGTCCCAGGCACTGGCAGAGCTGCGCTTTCTCCTGTGAGGTACACTAACTCTCTTGAGAGGCATGGTGGAGCCTGTAGTACAGGACATGGAGTGCTAGGGCTTTGGGTTAGGACAGCTAGTCTCCCATGCCTCTTTTCTCATTGTTGAATGAAGGAATAACTCTCAGCTAGGGCACAGACATTTTGTGATTGTAAATTGATAGGGTATAAAATAAAAAAAATAAAAAAACAATCAGGTCCCCTCTTAGTGACAGGGCAGAGTTCAACCATGATGGGCTATCCAAGGCTGTAATTGAGATCCAATGGACTAGTGTGCTTTTTATGAATTCCAGAAGTAGAATTCCATCCATTTTCTCTGTGGCATCATAGATCATCAGGTTCGTGCTCTCTGAAGGCAAGCTTCCAAAATCGCAGTTTATGTGAGAGCCAATGCCAATCCGGTGTCAAAAGGTCAGACTCACATTAGGTCAATGAGGCCTACGGGGGTATTGCTGCAAAGGGTGGACATACCCAGCATCGAAACTGACCACTTCTAGGCAAGAAAATCTCAGGCAGCAAGGGTGACATGAAAAACAGCGTGAGAACGAAATGGCTTGCAAATGATTGAGGTGTATTAACATTGCAGCAACATTACAGTATTATGAATTAGCACAGCAGACTAAAACTCCAGGAAACATCTGTGTCTTGCATGTGGTTTCTTTTGCTGGAGAATATATGTTGTTCCACAGACACTGTTCAAATGGATGCAGGATGATCTACAGAATTGCAGATTACGCGATTATGTGACTTCACGGAATTCAATGGAGTAGGGCATACACTTCTTAAAATTTAGAGCTGTTAATTTTCTCCATGCTCCAATTACTTCTTTCATACAGAAAGCAGGGCATTTGTTAAATATGCACAAACCACACACTGTGCTAGCCATAGGAGCACGGCTTTGCAATGCAGACATAGACAGGATGTGAGTCTTTATCACATTTGAAACACTCACACACTTTATTTATTGTAAAGGTCACAAAAAGAAAGTCATTTTGGTAAAGTAACATAGTGAATAGCAGATGTTTTTCTATTCATCTTAACAAGGAAACAAATATTTTGCTTCTGAATGGTCATAGAGGTCATCCTGAAATAAATTAATATAAAGTGCTTTTGAAAAACAATACTTGAATAACTGAAATGAGGCACCTAAGTCACAAACATTTTCCGCTTTGATAATATTTTGAGCTATGATTCAAAGAATAAGAATAAGTCCAGTCAAATTATGTCAAAATGCAACATAAGTATCAGATTTCTGCACTGGTTTATTTTCAACAAATTAACCACAAAACTGCCACTTTCTTGAAATTCTCATATCTGTCTTCACTTATTTTCGGATTTCATTAATTCCATTTATTTGAAATAAAAGCATGCAACTCAGACATTTTTTTTTGTTTTCTTTAACGAAACCCCAAAATGTGTAAATTCTCTTGAAGTACTGTAGTTTCAAAAAATGTTTATTTCAGTACTGGAGATGTGGAATTATTGCAATAAAAGACTTCTGAATATAAAAGCATCATTACTTACAAATTTTGTGTTGGCAGATCAGCTGCAGGAATGCAAAGGTAAGTCACCTCCTGTGAACAGGAAACAGAAGTTCATGTTTGACGCTTTCTTTGAAAAGGTTAAATAAACAGGATCATTAACAATTCAATTCAATTTATTTTTATCTTGCGCCTTTCAAAACCAGGTTGTCCCAAGGTGCTTAACAAAGCAAGTGACCATACATGTTGTGAATACAGAACATAAAAGCCCAGAAAACAACAAAAGATACATAATTTAAGAACTCCTCAAAATGGAAATAAACTTATACAACCTACACATTGATTCTCTGGTCTATAGTACATCTTGGTTGATTTAAGTCATTTTCATGGGATCCTCTTTATTTGCTATATATTAAAACATTATGTACCAGGCTAAAATACTAATTTTATATTAATTTTATTCAATTTAATATATATTTATATTAATATGTTGGTGTAGTAGGTGAAAATGTTCATCATTAATCATCAGGTACAAAAAGATAAAAAATACAAAGAATTATCTCGATGCAGTAAGATTTTTTAACACACTGCACACCTATGTGTATTTCACAGAAACAGAATAAAAACAGGACACACATACAACAGTCAACCACAGATCTGTCAATTTTGGCGTTACAAAAAGTTCAGATTTCCCCTTGCCTCAATAAAGAGTACCGGACTAGATCTGTATGTCTGCTTGCTCCAGAAAAGATGAGAGAGGTACGCTCCTCCGTATTCGTGAGACGATATCCTGAGGGAGATGTCCTTTTAAAGGATGTCCTTCATTGCCCATCTAAACACAAAGTCCTTTTAATGGCATTTGACTCTGCTGCAAAATACACCGTTGCTCCTTCAGTGATGTTTTCACCATCACGTTATGTAGTACAGTACTGTATGTCCCACTCATATACAGTCCAATAGAGTGGTAGAGGGTCTTTAGAAATTAAACTATTTTTTCCATGTTCTCTACAAATTTGATGTAAAGGAGTCCATGAGAAATGATACCTATAATGGCTGAACAGCTTCATGCAAGTGCGCGGCAAATGAAGTGATTCTACTCGCGGGAGCCATCATGGACAGATGGCATAGCAACACCAAGCCACTATAGCACCCTATAGATAAAATGGACACCCCTGCGTATATTCAATATGGCTCAGCGCATACTGTATGTAGCTGTTTGAAGAGTTCAACTGAGTTTAAAAGCACCATGCACATAAATAAGGCTATATGTCACTCTTTTACACATATCTGAGACTGTGAAAGAACGTCAAGCTGATTTTGCATTTATACCAAGCTAAAAAAAAAGCAAATCGGGAGTACGATTAAAGGATTTGCAATTTAATGACTTATGCAATCACTGTAACGCTGCCCAAGCAATAATCCAACAGCGCTTATTCCTGTCACTGAAATTACGCCAGAATGCACTGCAATTCAAGAGAAGACTGTGCCAATAAAAGGTCCCCTTAACACTGATCATGCTCAAGATTCACACCGAAAGGCAGCATCAGAGGGGATTTCATGATTCATCAAAAGAGAGCTCCTTCTTCCTCTGAGCAAATCACATGCATATATAATAAGGAGACACACCCTCTCGGACACAAATCGAAAAAAAAAACAGCAAAAGTACAGAGTGGAACATTAGAAAAGGAATAAACTAATAAAGACATAAAATGGAAAAAAAAACAGGTAACCTTCCACTAATGAAATACCTGATAAAATGGTCTTTAACATCTGTCTACGGACCTGCCTGTTTCATAATGAAGTGAAATAACAGATGCTGGAAAAAAACACAAGAAATGGCACATGCAATTTATTCATAAAGTTCAAGACTACTGTATGTGATGAACCAGCCTTCCCTCTCTTCTGTCAAGTGAAAGTGCATAATGAACAACTGTGATGATGACTATGATGATAATTTGCCATTTTGGGAAAAAAAACTAGCATAATCTTGGCTTAGCTCACGCTACTGCATCTGCAGTTCAGCATCAGAGAAGAATATGTCTAACTTCAAACTGCAGTCCGGACTGCAGGCACCTGAAGTGGTGTACCGCAGGGAACTGTATTAGAACCACTGCCCTTTCTAATCGACATCAACGAGCTAGTTCCGGCTAGAGCTAATAGCTAAGTCTATTTTGCTGTTGCCAAAATTTCCTAATATTCCTATTTTATATTTAACTTTGAAGCTAAAAAAATAAAAGGGATTTAAAAACAAATTCTACACGGCACAAAGAGAGAGCAGGCAGTGACAATGAACATAAGGTTTTACATTCAAGTAGCAAAAATATTGTTGTGACTTGTTTGGAGGGTAGGTAGCAAAGTTTAGCAACATTTGCACTTCCCTGCTTGCTTGCCCTACATAAAAGGTTTGGAACAAAGTTTATATTTTGACTGTGTTTACCTGACGGTCTGGGCTAAGAGTCAAGTCAACACAGCAAAAGATGTGAGAAATGAAGGATGAAAAGTGTACTGAACTCAATCTTCAACTCAATTATTACATGACAGCTTGTGGTCTTAATTAAAAGGAAATTCTGATTTCCATTATTGTGGAATCCTAAGCTTAAAAATGTTCTCTCCTGTTACTGATGCAGTGTTAGAAAAGGGTTCTTGACTACTTGTTTCAGAGACAGAGATTTCTCCTGGGAAGAAACCATTTTTTAAGGTTTTCTTATGGTAGCTGCCACACATACTGCATAGTTGAGACTCACTGTCACTTCATCAGGCATAAAGCAATATTTCTGGGTTATAACCATACTCATGCTTTCTTGGTCTTTGCCAATCTGCCACATTTCCAGATTAACACCGGGTTTTTTAGGCACATGCTCAATTTACTTACGTCTAATCTGCATGAGTATACATACTGTATTAACACACACAAATCTAATAAAATACCAAGATACTTTTGCAGAAAAAAAAACATAACAGCTTGACTTTCAGGCTCCCTTCAATTGACAGTTTCCCAAGCTCATTTAGTTGAGGTTGGATTTCTCTCACTCACTCCATTAAAAAGGAGGCAGAAAAGTTTTTCACAATATAAACAAACAAACAGGATATTGTAATGTGCCTCCACAGCTGTGAACCATGAGTAAGCAGTCTTGCTATCGGAATTCGCTGAAACATATGCACCTGCAGATGATTACGATAAAAACTCAAGTTCTATTGGTGTAGAAACGATATTTTCACTATATGACTAGGAATGTATTAACCTTTTCCCCCTCTCTATGCCAGTCAACCTACACATTAGTGCTTTTTTCAGCTCCTTGAACACAGCTAAGCTATTACAGAGAACGTTAGGAGAAATACCATGTGGCAGTTTTTTTCACTGCCAGAAATTCAGTAAAAGAACAAAAGTAAAACACTCCGCAAGTCATAACATCCACAACACAGAAAGCAACGTATTCAATTACAAAAAAAAATCTGTTCTCTTTATTAGCAAAAATGCTACAATGCCTTCATTGAACCTTGACGGTTCTTATTAACGGTCTGACCGACGTCTTCATCTTCGTTTTATACAACTTATCAACACAAACGTGCAAACAGACATGTATGTATGTATGTATTGCCAGTTATTTTTTAGTACTCACAGAAAAATGTCTCATCACATTATTTGTGGAAAAGGCAAATTTCAGCATCCGCTAATTCCGACGTCTGACTGACATTTAATGAAAGCACTTAAAATGCACTTAAAAGGAAGGCATCACAAAATTCACAATTTCCTCTCACTGTCAAGTTAAGTTTGATTATTTGATCCCTAAGGGACGCCTGCCTCTCTTAAAAGATTGCATTTACATATTTTGTTAAAGGGCTCCTGCTGGGACATTTCAAGAAGAGATTAATTTTACCAGTGTGTGGTAAAGGGTTGATTTTGTTGATGTGGCCATAAAACATGACAAGCAAATGAGAACGGTTTTCCATTTTTTCCCACTTGCTGACCAGTGACAGGTACAGTGATTTGTTCAGAACTGTTTCGGCATGTTATGTAAACTGTATCATACCTGCCTGAACCTCCCACCCACTAAGTCAACCATCACCCAGCTACGCACCAAAAGGATAGAAGACTTGCATCACAATCCCTAGTGATGGGCTAAATTTACGTAACACCCCCTGCTCTTCCGTGCTGTAGGGTCCCTTGGGCTGTGCTCTATTCTGTCTTTTCCTGTACGTGTGCCGTTCAAGATAAACCTTTTCGTAAGAACCAGCCCTGGGGAATGCTGGTATGAGCCCAGAATAAATGCTTTATTTCTGTGCGGACCATGGAGACTGTTACGCACCGAAATTTCCACTTCAAATTTATAAAGCTCTATTTATGAAGGTGGGGCACAGGCCATGAAACTGCATATGACGGCTATATATGAAGTGTGCAACTCCTCTGAATGTAACTATTTCTTATGAAGTCAGTCTTTCTGTCACTACTGAGAAAGAAGACAATATTTCTGAGCATATATTGATTTGCTGCTTTTATCAGAATGAAATTGGCTAGCCCTTTTAAGATTTTTTTTTTACAAATAGTGTAGTAAACGAAAACATTTATACTGCAGCTTCATTGTGGCTTTAAAACATCACGGAATATCATTAAAATTCATCAAGGCATTCATCAAATTCATAACGTTTTGTGGGACCCAGTAGTCCTGGAAAACCAGAAGCATAATACAACATGCCTTTCCTTGTAATGTATTTACAATCAAGCATATTCATGTTGGGGGAGATGGAATTCTCAAAATGTTCTACTTAGCACAAAATAAAGATTAATGTAGTGCTGGCTTCATAAATGTTTACATACAGTATATTGGAGCTATTTTAATATACTGTATGCAGTTATAATATTCTAACATCAAACTTTTTTCTATGATTATTAAGGTCTTTGTTATATATGCAATTAGACTATTTCTATTACTAATGGTATTCAAAGTAATGGTAACAGATTTTCTTGTTCTTGTTAAGCATGGAGAAGCAAAATCTCAGATTTTCCTTCTCTGGGTCTTCTTGTACACTGATAATGTGAACATCTGTAATTTTCTGCGTGCTCATAAATGAATGAATGTGTCCTGACATGTTCA